GGTACCACTAGTGGAGAAAGATCATTGATGCCGCTACTTTTCTTATGATTTGTTCGCCAGTTTTGGGAGAATCAGAGAATCCCAGCCATAAACGAGCACACAACAAAAACTTTTATCAGCTTATTGGCCATTCTGCAATAATCTGTGCTTTTGTATTGATGCCGCTGCTTTTCTTATGATTTGTTCGCCAGTTTTGGGAGAATCAGAGAATTCCAGCCATAACCGAGCACACAACACAAACTTTTATCAGCTTATTGGCCATTCTGCAAAAATCTTTGGACAAGTGGTCCATTTATGTTATATTGCAGTAAACACTTACAAAATGTTCCTCCGTGATGCAGTAGCGGCCCAACTCGTGTCTCTAATGCAGAGATCGAGTATATGGTCCTGCCCTAGGACATCGCAATGTTAATTGGACCACATTTTTATGCGTATTTTGGTTAATTTTGGAACCTTAGGGATCAGTGTGGCCACGAAAAAAATTACCAAATTCCTCAAAAACAATTGAAAAATCCTTAAAATCCGAACAAATTACTCAAATGTTTCTTATTTACTGTTTACTGGTACTTAGCATAAAAATTAATTACATTCTCCAATTCAATTGGTACATTTGTTCAAACAAAGTATCACCGTTATTTTTTATTCCTTGGTTTGTATATAATATTTCTGCAACTATATCAGTGCTCAATCCGGTCTTCAAGTCAGTCCTACACATTTTGAAACTACTAAATATACGTTCTACTAAAGCATTCAAAAATGGCTATATTAGTAATGCAGTTATAATTTTTTTAATTGGGATACTTATATGAACCTGAAGAATCTTTTAATTCAAAAACTTTTTTCTATGATGTTCTGGATTTAATGAAGAATCAATATGAATATCCTTATGATAGAACAATTCCTTATCGAGATCTTGCAAGTTCAAAATAAGTTGAAAATATAACAATGGAATGAAAAAAATTATCGATAACATTTTGAATATTTAGCAACAAATGCAAAAGTGCTTAAGAGCGAAAAACACCACACACGCGGCTTGACAAACCAAGCGAAATATCCCTTTGCTTAAAGCTATTTAAGTTGTGTATGGGAGATTTTGAAGGCTTGACAAGCCATTTGAGGGAAATGTGAACAAAAATGAAATTTTTTGATTTTCTGGCCGACATGTTGACGTTTGACGTAAGCGTTACGTTGTGTATGAAAAAATCGCCCCATTCGCAACGGAATTTTTACCGAATGAAGATGCCAGAGAGAAAAATCAAAGAAAACCAAACCCTTTTACATGGTGAACCGGAAGAAAAATAAACTTCTTTGCTTGAACGAGTCATGTTTTCACGGTGTATTGCGAAATGGGAAAAGTAGGTTTGGAGAATGTTTGACAAGCCGCTTGTGTGGTGTATTTCGCTCTTTATAATACTTCGGAAAGTTTTTTGTTCAAAAATTGGCAGAGCGATTTAACAACTCTCTTGTGTAAAACATGGTTGCATTTGTTATCTGCAAATATATCGAGGGAAAATTCCTCAAAAATTCCTCAAAATAAAAATCCTCAAAAAATATTCAAGCGCTCCAGGAAATTCCTCACATTTCGAGGAATCACTCACAAAGTGGCAACACTGTTGATACACTGGGATACTCTTTACATGAGCGCATGGAGTACCTAGTCGCGTTTTTGCATTGTAGCTTAAACACGTACAAACATACACACATATGAGCGGCCGGAAAAGCGACGAGAATAGCGAAGAAAACAAAATCACTTCGATTTGACTTCAACCCGTCGCTTGAATTCTATGCGCTGACATTTTTACGCACGTAGACTACGTCGGCCCATAAACACGCAAACGCGCATTGGCTAGCTTAACATACGTATGTACATACATACGTATGGCTGCTGAACTTGCACGGGGGCGCGTATCGGGAATAACGCTCCGATGCACGTGATAGTGGATGGAAATAAAAAACCAAAGCGAAATATTTGTTTTTTAGTAATTGTTTAATTTAAATATTCAGAGTCAGATTTCAATAAATATGGGTATAAGTAACAACGGTGTTACCTTAGTGACAGTGCCCTGGTAGCTGCTGGTTTGCTCGCGTTGATCTTCTGAACCGAAGTGATCTTAAGGATTTGCGGGATTTTAAATCGGACCGCCGGACAACAACCGATATTAAGGGGAAACTTAACGATAGGTTATTATCCGGCGGGAAACGTCAGTTAACGGCGCGAGTTAATCATAATTGGTGTGCATATGTATATGTGTGTGCATACGCCTATATGCCAACACTAGGGCGGGTCACAAAAGAATGAAAATCTTTAGGCCGACGGCCTAAACATGCAGGCCCCCTTACGGCAAGCAACATCTAACATTTATGCAGCAGCTACCAGCTCACCTCTGTACATGTGATTAAACTAAAAAAAATGATGTGAAATTGTTCTGGATATAACTGCGATGAGCCAGATTCATCAATTGCCGCTGTATCGTTTCCATGGCCGTTTCCACCTATACTGCTGATTGAGGGCAAGAGAGGTAAAGGCATTAAGTGAAAGATACGTGGATATTTTCAGATGTACTTTATTACAAAAAAACATAAATAAAATTTGAACTTCATATTTGTACAATAAAAAAGGTAAATAAAATGTGGCTTGTAATTTTTCGACTACGTGCGGCAGACGCCCGAAAGCACGTATCCAAAGATTGTGCTTTGGGCCAACAGAGGCCCAAAGGGTGTCGGCAGAACACTGGGCATGATGATGTCGGCGTAGACATCCGCGCCGAGGACGATCCGAATCGGAGAGGACCTGAAGAAGTTCGGGTCGGCGAGCCCAATGTGCGCATATGTCGCAGCTATGGCCGGGTCGACATTTTTAGGCGGTGATATTCGTCGGTAATTTTTTATTATGTGTGCATGGGTTGCCACCTGCTTATTTACCCCGTGCTTTCCTCGAATACTTAGTAGACAGCCTCTTTGCCTCCCCCACCGGGTTACCTTTAAGCCCAGCTCCCTCGAAAGGTCGCTCGATATTACGCTGGATGGTGTACAAGCATCTATCAGTGCCCGAACAAGGTGAAGTCTTCCTCCTGCCTCGACTTTGATGATTGCCGTGGGTGAAATCGACACCATAGGTCGTAGCACCTCGGTTTGTCTCACGGCGCCGGCAAGGCCCATTCGGAAGTTGTTCGGTGCTCTGAGTTGGCGAGATCGTGCCACTATTCCTCCCTGGTCACGATGTTTAGTTGGGCCCGGGGTTAGCTGGTGCGGGCGGAAAGACCCGGTTTCCGCTCCGCGAGTTCGTCGCGTATGCTGGCGTGATCGGAAAGACCTAGTTTCCAATACAGCCACTCTTTGAGTCATGTGATGAAGCGGAGGTTGGAAAGTCCGAGTTTCCGCTCCCCTGTCATTGTTCGGGCAGAGAGTCCTAGTCTCCGCTCCGGATTCAATACCGTCTCCAGTTTCCAGTTCCGGACAGAAAGACCGAGTTTCCGTTCCGGATTCGGATGCATAGATGGAGATCACGTCCAATTCGTCTTCTTCTTCGTCCACCTGTTGACTCCAGGGTCTCCTATCGATGGGGTCCAGATGAATGGTGGTGTGATGCTTGTCGTGACACCGGCGGCATCTCTCCGCACTAGTGCAGTTTTCCGCTCGATGGGTCATTGCGAGGCAGTTGATACAATACTTCCCAAGTATTGCTTCGCGAAGTCGGTCCTCAGAATTTTTTGCCCTGTAGACCGGACACAGTCTTATCGGGTGTTTGCCGTTGCATAAGCGACACGATTGAGGATAGCGATGTGGGTGTTGTGCCGCTTTATTGCGCAAATGGGTGAAGCGAGTCATAGTTGCTGCAATAAATGGGTATATTTTTACGATCTGTTCGAACCGGGAACCATTTATTTAAATATTGTGGGGTGGCGTGTAATTTAGGCGGAAATTCTTAATGCATTTGGTATGACAAATTTTTGTTTATGGGATAAAAACAAGATTCTGTAAGTGTGAATGTGGCATTATGTGGTTACTAATTGTATTTCATAAACTTCCGCATGTGAATAGGGTATAATGGCTGAGTTGCGATCCATGAAAATGACAAGTGGATCGCCCACATGCCACGCATTCCATCATACAGGGATGCATGACAAGATAAAAATTATTTATACCACACGATTTAGTTTTGAATGAATTTTTCTTTTAAATAGTTAGACCTTGTAGTGCCAATGTGGTGTTCTCCATACAATGAAATATTTTTATGAATAACTTGAACTGCTAATTTCGTCATTATCCATTCAAAACTTCATTGAATTAAGCTGTCGAAATACGTATTAATCGACATTTAGAGAGTTTTTAGCCATTCTCGCAACCCTACAACTGGCCTGCCACCCAAAAAAAAAATTTGGATGCCCCTGAAGGCGATACTCGGCTAAAAACAGGGTAGCTCATATGCAGCAGAATTCATAAGTATAATTGCAGAACCGTTTGGTTATAAAATACATAAATATCATGTTTGCTTATGAAATTTACATCAAAATGTGTGATAGACTTATAAAAAAATTAATGCATTGATATTTGCTTATGACAATGCATCTTTAACCCGTATAATCCCAACTTTTTTTTTAATTATGTTTTGTATTCATTTAACCAATATGAGTAGTTGAAAAGACTACAAAAACTATATGCTTCAAGAATTTCCTCCATTTATTTCATGGTTTTTGGAAAAAGGACCGCCCCAAAAATGGGGCAATGGGCATATCAGGAAGCACTAAAAATTAATGAAGTTACTGATTTAAAAACGATTTTATTATTTAATAATGAAAATTATAATTTCAGTTCAGTTTTCATTAGGTTCAATAATAAAATAAAAATTTGAAGGATAACGAAAAAATATTATGAATGAAAAGACTCAAAACAATTCGTGTGACAGCCAACATCACATTTGCGGCATTTGGTGGTATTTTTGTGGCACTCTGCACATCTTATTTGAGTTGTACTGAATGTGATTATATGACCTTGACCGTCTAGACGAACACCATCCGGAACTCTTCGCCGTTATTAGTAGGCTTTAATGGGCGACCCAATGTTCTTTGATTGGAGTATTTTCCTAATTAGACAAAAAGAAGTTATTTTCAGTGGAAAGGTGAAGTTTGCATATATTACTTACCAAGATAAGTGGTAGTTATTACACGTATGAATGCTAAGTAATCCAAAGGATTTTTGACCATCTGGAGAAAGTTTATAAACTTGAAAAGCATTGTTTACGGATACGTTCAGAGGCCACATCAAAAGCTGCCAGTACCACTTCTTGCGATTGATACTAACTCGATAACATCCTACATTTTGATCGAGTCGGTCAGTTCCACCCATGTATCTATTATATTGCTGAATGCAAGATGGTTGTTGAATCGCTATCTTCCGTTTTTGGTTGCTTGACCATCGCTGTGCAGAACCCATCGGTGCTACCCCTTCGCAAGAAGAGGCCACAGTTACAACGTTGTTATCATTATAACGAATCAGCGTTATATACGATTTTTCATCGGTAATTTGATGATAGCTACCCCTAGATTTTGATTTCATGCTTTGAAGTGACTCCAGAGGTGCTTTCTCGACACGATTTGCTCGAATGGTGCCAGTGCCTTGATGACCAGACTGCTTTAGAGCCGTCAATAAACGGAGCGATGTAAGGAAATTATCCATGTAAACATGGACTTTGAATCCATCTGGTAGTTTCGAAACCAGATTTGTGACAACGGACCCACCGACCCCTAGGTCAGGATTAGTATTACCGGCAGAAGCCCCTTGGTAATGTTCGGCTTGAATCAGATATCCAAGACGCGTTGCCATGCACCAGACTTTATAACCAAAGCGGATGGGTTTGCCATGGATATGCTGCTTGGTGCTGTGGTGGCCATAGTAGGGTATCATGGATTCATCAATACTCACCTCCACATATCTCGGAGAGTATCTCATCCACCTTTCGTTTAGATTATCCCACAATGGTCGAATCTTCGTGAACTTGTCTTGTGGGTCCAACAATGTATTATCGCTAACATGCATATATCTCAAGATTTGTTCGAAGCGTGCTCTAGGCATTGAATTAGCTACGCCAGGATGATATGTATCAGCACCGGTGTCGCAAAACATTTGCTGTCTGGCACAGGCGCAGTACCCACTCAATAAAAAGATCGCAAGTACGAGTCGTATTTCTTCTCGGGTTACTTCAAATAGTTCGTTTCTTCCATAAACAACAAACTTGTTTGAGTTACATACTAACAAGTCGATTACTTCGTCATCGTAGAATAATTCAAACCATTGAACAGGTGTCCTAGCTATATTCAGAAAATCAGGTCTACCCCATTCTTGTCTTTCATATTCTGGAAGGTCCTTGCTCTTCCATTCCCTGTTTGAAAAAAGTTTATTTTTCTTTTTTCCGAATTGGGCTTGAAAAGAACTTTTCAAATGCGAAAGCGGAACGTCGTCTTCACTGTCATCAGTATTTGCATCGCCTTCCTCCCCAACAAATTCTCTTCTCAAACTATTACCACTTTTTCTAATGAGCTGTAACTGTCCTTCAGCAAGCAATTGATTACCTGACAGATGATTTAAGTCTCCTTCGACAGCATCATCTTCATTACTATCTCCATCACTTAGCATGTGATTGTCAGGTGGGCAAATATAGACATCTGCGTCCAAAATATCTTCATCATTGTCCAATATGTCAATTAATCCGCAACAATCAATCTGAAACATAGATTTCAGTAACGAAACCCCCATATCATACTAGAAAAAAGCAAAGTATTTTTCCACTAAAAATACGTCACTTACAGTTTTTGTAAAATCGTGTGGGCTGCCATGCTTAGCGCTCCAACAATGGGGCGGCACGAAAACTCTTCCACAGAACTTCACAAAAGCAACATTAAAATTTTGTTTTATATTTGTTACATCTAATATTGACAAATCTATTACTCAATGTAAAATACATTTATTTTCAAATACAAAAAATACAAAAACTTACCTGTTATTTCGCGCCATCGTAACTAGTACAAAATTTCAAACTGCGTGCATTCGTTTAAAAAATATACTTAAGTTAAGCGGAAAACAAAACACGTGTCAGTGTTGCCACGGCCTACAATAACACGCCACTAAAGCTTTTACGGAATATAAATAACCACTTTTTGTATAATTCAAAATTATAAGGCGTTTTAAAAATGGGGCGCTGGGCATATATGGGTTAAGTAGTTATAAATGTATTTATTACAACTAGCGAGTTACACTGAATGTCGAAACGGTTCACTAATTCGAGCTACCTTACTACGTTCACTTTGTGGAATGTGTGTATGTACAAATGTCAGAAGCCATTCAAGGTGCATTTATACAATGGAAAGAGTATACATACATATGTACATTTTTTCATTGCAAAAAATGACAGAATGGATTCAATGGAAATCCGTATACATACATGGCGAATTCATATTTCTTTTAAATTGTAATAATTTTTCTGGCACGCGGCGGTTGTGTAATTTGAAGGTTAGGTGAGGATTTGTAAAATATTGTATTATATAGCTGTGTTTGAATGTATTTCTTTCTTAATAACAGGAGGTTGCTTGGCATAATTTCTGCTGGTGTTATTTTCCGGAAAAATAAGACCAACATGAGGTTAAAATAAAAGAGTTGACTGCAGCGGATGCATTTGTCAACGCAATTTTGACTAAATTGAGTGGAACAGATGAATAATGTAACAAAAAATCGGTGCTTCGTTTCGGTAGCAGCCTAATTACTGCAAATTCATCGAACGCATCAAAAAAATGTATTTGGCAGGCATGATTTTACTCGAACGCTATAGCACATGTTCGAAAATCCTGAAGCTTCGGGTTCATTGCAAAAGCCCAGCTTGAGCTACGGTGGCGCCAAGCACATGCACACCAAGGGTGAACGTGAGCTTGTCGAATTCCTTACTGACGAAATTTTGGCTGAACGTAAATCACCAAATATTACGACGAATCCCACCACTTTGGATAGCTTCAGCGTTAAGCTGGTTGACGGTGTTGTGGAATTAACCAAGAAGAGTGATACGGAGAGCATCGTCATAAATTTCACTGCCAACCACACTGTAGACCCTGAAGATGAGCCTGAACTGGATCTCAATGCTGAAATCGGTAAGATGCGTAGCAAAACCATGCTTTGAAGTGGATTTTGTTAAGGGCCCAACCGCATTGTCATTCACATGCTAGTTCTTTTAGGGCACACTAGGGATGGGTAGTGGGGGGTAAAAACTCAATTTTTTTCCGAATTTCGAACATTGCCCAACCATTCGATTATTCGATTCGAAATTCGGTGGTGCAAATTCGATGTTCCAAAATTTATTTATTTTTATTTCAACTTCTTAATCGAGTTCGAGGTGTCAAATTCAAATAATCGCTTCCGCAGATGTTTACATTAAATATTTAACACCAAGTCATAAAATCTGTAACTTTCGTTCGATTTTCAAAAAGGAGGTAGGCGTCAAATGAAAAGGCTTGCCCTGTATATGTGTAATATGGTTTTAGTTTTGTGCCATATGTATATAAGAAAATCAAAATCAAATTATTTAATAAGTTAAATAAATTACCCCAATATGGGTATCAATCGAAATGGTTATGAATAAACTTTATTTTTTAGTTGCATTTACTTTAAAATACTATGCAACAATTAAGATATTTTTGAGGTGCTTGAAGAGAGTGGCCACCTGTCTAAAAAGTTCAACTCAAATTACACTATGGGACAGCCGAAACCAGCCCGGACTTTGTTGATATTCTCTGAAAGTATACCCATCCAGTAATAAAACACTCCGTGGATTTGCAAAAGTTAGCTCGTAGTTTTATTTCATGGCCTACTAAAGTTTTCATGTCTCGGCCTAAGTAATTTTCAAAAAAGTCGAAAAAATAGTTAAAATAACATGTCTGAGCGAAATCCAAGTTTAAGACATATATAATAAGATTTCATGGGAAATATTTTTGTAGAACATTTTAACCCATTAGCTCGCGCCTAAGAGGATTTTATTTGACTCTTACTTCAGGAAATCGCGCCAAAAGCAAATTTGGAAGGTCGCTAGAGGATTGATATATTCTAGAAAATTATTCTCCTGGAAATTTTACTAGGGGTCTTCGCAGGTGAAAGCTTCATGCCACCAACGTAAAAGCCTCTACACCAGGGGCGCACCTAGGAATATATTTTGGGAGGGGTTTATATTTCTGAAATTTGCTTCAGATAATATGCTCTTTAAAATACATTTGTTTAGGCCCATACCTAAATATGCTGCACCACCCTAATGCGCGTTAAATAATTTTGTATCTGAGTGCACACACACATATATAAGATACGGCTAACATTCCAGCCGTTAACAATATGCCCCGCCGTACGGTAACTAAGTTGAGGGGAAACTCAACGAAGGTTACTGTTCGGCGGGCTCAAACCCTTTTTCGTTTGTTAGCACTCCTTCACTTCCTTGAAGACCAGCATAGCGACTGCCAGCCACCACACCACGTCAGAAAGGTAATCTTATCAAGCTATCAGCAAAATATCTATTTCAATTCACACTGTTTTATTAAACATTTTCCTCCACAAATAAAGAACACATTTGTTATTATTGTTAAGAATTACACACTAATACGCTGTTGTTTTTTTCACTTATTTTTCTTTACGTGCGAGCGCCTTAACAACCCAAAGACGCCGGCGCGTAAATATTGGTCCATCTCAGCCGAGAAATTGACCTCCGAGTACTCCACAGCGCCAGAAATGCAGTCCACACGCACCACTGCCGCTTGATCGCCACATTATCAAAAATTTGCAACAGGATAATCTGCCAGTTGAAGGCTTCTTTATTATTGAGACACCATAAAAGGACACAGCAGAAACAGTTCCAGCAGCTACATTTGCCACAGCAGCTACAGTTCCAGCAACTTATTTTGTCACAAAAGCAGCACTTCCATTTACAAAGGTACGTGGTTTTGATTTCACACCTCAGTGCACTTTCAAACATTATTTATAAAATCGAGTGTCAAACAAAATGTCGCGGGTGAAGTTGTGAGAAAAAAGGATAAAAAAGATTTAATTTGCCTTTGAACTTTATAAAAAAAAAAAAATTTTTTGCAAACCGTTCGTTTTGTTTTTGTTTTCCACATTCGCTATTAAGATACAGCGAAGATACCGCCATTTTGAAGTGAACAGGTGTTGTTGTTGCAAAGTGATTTATTTAAAGCGAAGCACTTGCTTAATACAAGTTTTTTTTTTTTCGGTGCACGATTTTAAGTTCATATCACTTTTCACTTTGATTTTGGTATTTTATTATAACTCCTTTCGTGTCACTGATCTATAAGAGTTTTTCCAGCCTTGTGCTAGTAAGATTTCACTTGGGACGTAGTGGTTGGGGTAAAGTTACTTGTTTTAATCAAAGCACTTGTTTAATAAAAGTTTTTATCGGTACACATTTTTAGTTCGTATCATCTCACTTTCGGGTAGATATTTTTTTTTATTTTTTTTGCTTTTTTTGTAAAAACTTTTTCCGGTCACTGGTTTAATAACTTTTCTCAGCTTTGTGCTATAAGATTTCACTTGGTACGTTGTTGTTGAGGTTAAGTAAAAACTTTTAATATAGGTACTTACACAGCAGATTTCGCAGCGTACAATTTTAAATTCTTATCATTTTCACCTGTTGACTTTGATATTTTAATTATAATTCCACCTTAGTGTCACTGGTTACAGATTGGGTTAGTTAGTGTCTTAAACACTTCACTTCACTTTTTTAGGGTATCAAATATTTGATTGTGCATGTAAGCACATACATACATAATATATTGTATTTTGGAGAACGACGGGTTCTTTTTTTCCCTCTTTTTGTTCACAACATTCACTTTCGCGACAAAATTCACTTCTGGCAGACGCGACCGATTACAATATTGTATACACTATATATATATAAAGAGTTGGGTGGCAAGTAATTTTCCATACGCACACACATACATATATATAACTCGTCTTTGCTGAAACAAAATAAAAAAAAAATATTTTAATAATTAAGTCGTTAAAAGAAAAACGAAATCCTCGGCTTTTCAATT